ATGATTATGTTTTGTGCTCAAATGTATTATACTGAAAGATAATTATGATATATAATGTAAACATATAATAATAATTGTTTTAAATTGTGTGCTGGTATTACCGTATGAACTGTGATTACATTATAAGTTGCCACAGTGTGTTCATAATGTAATACATTTCTCATACAATAACCTATTACATTATGTGAAAAAATGTTATTACATTGAAAAATTATTTTTACATTATGAGCTCAAGATTTTATTACGTTTTGAGAAAATGATTACATTATGAACATTTTATTACAATAATAATGTAATATTTATTACATTATGTGCAGTTTTTACATTATGTGCAGTTATTGCATTATGAGTTGCTACAGGGCCAGTTGCATAAACATAGCCACTATGTTAAGACTGTGTCTTAGAAACTAGTTTGACCAACTAGCAGTTAGCCAAGGGGTAACCAGTATTATTTTTCGGATTCAAGTTAGACAAAGCTACGTTTTTATTTAACCATCTTGAAAAAATTATGATCATTCTTAAAGAAAAAAATTAGATGACTAATTTTTAAGACTAGTCTAAGCCTTTTATGCATCCAGCCAATGGTGTTTGTTTAATTAAGACCACCACCGTGCTAATGCTTTAGCAAAAAACAATGTTCATCTGATTTTACTTATTATTCTTATTATTCCAACAGCCTTAGGATCTCTTTCACGTTATCCCACAGGCATCATCAGCCATTCAAAATCAATTCAAAAATCAATTCGAATATTATAAATTGTGTATATAAAAGCTTAAAGGACGACTTTTGATATACTGTGAATAGTGTTGTTTTTCCAAACCGTGTTTTTCACTGATACTTCAATGACATACTCAAATGATTATATGGTTATACAACACTATCCACAGCCATTACATTAACAACATTGATGAATACACAAATCTCCGGCATTACAATTAAGCCAATACACATGTAAATACATTTAAAAGTAGCAGTATTAATAAAAAAAATTAATAAGACACGCACACAACGTACAGGTGTTATGCACTTTATATTGTTTAAGATGTAAATAGATAGGCAAAATATAAATAAAAATATAGATTTCACTTAGTTATTCTAAGTGGAATGTGAAGCACAAAGGAAAGATGTGATTATAAATCCAATTAGTCATAACTGGTCTTTTCAATAAACTGTAATGCAACAACAACAAAATATAACTGAAGAGTTCAGATGCAAAAGCATCTAAGTGTCATCTGAAATTTTCTTCTAAAATTAGCATTTTTATCAGGCTCCTATATTTAGGTTCAGTTATTTCACTTTAATGGCATAGAAAAGGACCTATACATTGCCATTAAAGTAAAATTACTGAACCTAAACATAGGAGCCTGATAAAAAAAGGCTTTTGCATCTGAACTCTTCAATTCTTCCATTGATTTTTTTTTTCAAGAAAGTGTAACACCAGGATTCAGCTCTAAACACATGCAACAACAAATCCATCATGTACTTGAGTATGTTTTCCTCATTAAGTGGAAACAAGTTTTTGTGTGTATGTGTGTGATGAATTCTTACCACAGTGTGGAGCTCTCTCTCTATCTAGCTGATTGTTCTCCTTTTCCAATAAGTAGTGGAAAGAGGCTCAGATGGATGTTCCTCATTTAAAAACACAGCTGGATTGCAGTCGCCCCCTGGACCACTGCTCTGAGACCAGAGTCTTTCGCTCACAGCTGCTGAAAGACCTCTAAAATATTACAAGGCTAACCTTGAAATTCAGTTGCATGGGATTTTGTCTTTACCGGCATAGGAATAAAAATATTTAACTAACCCCTTGTGTTGCAACTTTCAGCCCACAGAACATTCAGAGATTTCTTCCCAAAATGAAGGACTTAGGCGTTAACTACTGTGTTCTTCATGGTTACAGCTCTTTGGTTATTAAGCATATTTGCATATTTTTGTGCTCCTGTGTTAGCTCTGCGGTAGATACAATGATGTAAACAAAGCCTGTTGGCTTCAGGATATCCTCCTCAACCATCCACAGAGGCGTTTGTTCATGTAATCCTCTTTACTCTCAGCAGTTACAAAACAAGGGACCACAATCAGGTCTCATTGCGACTAGCATGTGTAGGTCTACAACAAAGGAGGCACCTTAAAAAGGGACCATCCTTCTTGGTCTGTATATCCTCATCTCAAGTTTACATAATAGGCAAAAACAGAGAAACAAATAGGGACATAATTAGCGTAGCTGCTGTTCCAAACAAGCAAAATTGATTTGTTTAACCCAAACTAAAGAATAATAATAATGTGCATTTGATCAGATATAACTGCAGTACAAGATTATGATATGCATTATTTGAATGCTTGAATGCTTATAACTGATTAACCCATTTGTTTCCCCTGAAATAATTCAAATGAATGTTAATTATTTATACTAACCAAGCACTCTATCATCTATACAAGGAGATCTCAATTCCATTTGCACTCGCAATATAGTTTTGTTTTCATAATTTCCGTGCAACAATTTTTTTTTCACTCTTATTAAATTCTCTAGTGTAAATGTAATTGTTCTTTAGGGTTTCAATTTTGCTAGCACTTATTTTTCTTTATTTAAAAATGGGAGTCCCCCTTCAACCTAGGTAATACAAAAATGCTCCATATTCTGTTAATATTGATACATGGTCTTAGTCATATTTATTTTTAGGGTGGTCTGATGCACATAACTTGTGGTTCTGACAACTCCAATTTTGAGAGAATTGTTTTACTGTAAGTATGTTCTGAACTGTCTGCTGATCTCCAGATGATCATCTTACTCAGCTGCATGGCGACCGACATAGTTTCTGGTAACTTTCCACGACTGGATATACCTGCACAACCAGAACACATCTGCCTTTAGAACACATAATGCATGGTTTACACTATAACTTATTTATTTCCGAATACATGGCAGACAGTCTCACGTGATGCACAGCAACTAGGTAGATATATACACAACAGAACATCTGATATTGTCAAAAGGGGAGTGGCTAAACTGAAAAAATTTTTTTGTATGATTTACTTTGAAACTATTATCACTCAGAATTTTCTAGTAAATGGGCTGCACTTTATTTCACAGTATGTGCACTTATGTGTACTTACAGTGTACGTACCTAAGAAAGTACTGGGTAATACCAGGTAACTACATGGTTAAGGTTAGGTTTAGGGGTATGTTCAGGGTTAGTACCTTGTTATTACCTAGTTATTTTAATTACAATAAAAAATACATATATGTACATGCGGAACAGGACCTTAAAATAAAGTGCTACCAATAAATGTTAAAAATAATTACAAAGAAACCGCAAGTAAATAAGTTAAACATGAAATTTTAAAGTAGAACATACTTTTTCAGTCCTTAATGTAAAACATATTCAATCTTTGTTTCATTTACAACTTTGAAAAATCATTTTTTACTGTTGAACACAAACAAGAATGCACTTTTAATCAGTTTCTTTCACTGTTGAATCCCTAAAAAGCAATCGGCAATAATATGCAATTATTCAGTTGCATGATAACAACAACTGTTATTTGGGTGCTTAGCTAATTAACTAAAAATCGCTTATTATTTATTATTAGCCATTTGGAAGAAGCAGTATAATTTACAATTACACCAATATAAACTGCTTTTTAATTTTGGCCATATAATGAATGCATCTACACAGCTAGAAATCTTTTTTTTTGTTTTTTTTTAATATCAGACATGACAAGCCATATAAGCCATTGTAATAAATAAAAAACATATACTGTAAGACTTCAAAAAGAAAGAGATATTCAACTATATGATACATGAGCTTTAAGCATCTCAGCCACTAGTAAGCAAACATTGCATAATGTACTGCAGATACATCACAGATTACCAAAGAAGCACAGTACAGACACGATGCACTACTCGAGAATGGATACTAGTACAGGATAAGGAGAAGTAGAGGATGACTCACAAAGTTCACACAGAACACACTATTATATATTTAAGTTGTAGAGTTGTGTGTGTGTGGGGGGGG